CCCCATAGTGGCAGCATCGGCACCCCCTGGGGACTTGTTAGAAGGGCCAAAGCTCAGGCCCCAGCCCGGGATCCTGGATTAGGAGGGTGGAATGCAGCAACCCAGGTCTCACAGCTGCCCAGGCAGGGTTGATGCCCGCTGAGTCCAAGACTCGCTGTCTGTAACCCTCATGTAACCCTTCTGAGCCCCAGTTCTCCCACAGGAGAGGAGGGGCAAGGCGACAGCGCATGCGCTTGCTGTTTCCAACAAAGCAAGCACTAGGGAGATGGCGGCTGCCACTTGGTGGCCCTGGGCTGGGAGGAGTCAGGCTCTGTGCATGTCACCTCACTGCTCCGGGGGCAGCGTGGGTTCCGCATGAGAGCTGCTTTGTTTCTGTTTTGTTGAAACCCTAAACAGTCCCAGTTGTAAATCTCAGACCCCAACTTTCTCCCTAGCTCCTGGGGCTGCTGGGAGAGTAGACTCTGGGGAGTCAGCCATTGGTGAACCAGGGATGGGCTCGGAGGGAAATGGTGCAGGCGCCAGGCTCACCTTTCTGCATTTCTCTTCTCTTCCTTGCTGGTCTTGGCATTCGGACCTCTCGAGTCCTTGGTGCTTCCTTGCTGTGACTGGCAGCTTGGTGTGCCTGTGAGTCTGCCACTCTGAGAGGAAGCCTTCTCTCCTCCTGCGATGTTCCCGTTAGCATGATAGAGTCAACAGGAGCCTTTACAACAGTGCAGCCCCTGGCTCATGGTTGAAAAGCTCAGTACAGTGAATTCCTCTTCTTCTTCCCCCAATACATGCCCCTATTGAGCTGACTCGGTAAAAATCTGCCCCTCTAAGCCCTCCCTTACATTTTCTAAGAATTGAGCCAATGTTGCACTGTGGGTTTGGACTCCAGGGCAGTTGAACTCAGCAGGAGGCTGTAATTGGACTCTGCTGGGAGCCTGGCTGGTTTCTGGTCCCTGGCCTGGGAGGTGGCAGTGTCCGCTCCATCCCCGGATCAGCTCAGGAAACAGCCCGGGCTGTGGCTTCACGGACCCTCTTTCTCCCCTTCTCGTCTCAAGAGGCCCAGGCCCACCCACAGCTCCAAGCACACCAGGTAGAGCAATCTCCTTAGCTTTGGAATCCTAGGCCCCCTTGTGTCTTTCCTCTGCAGAGGAGTGCACCCTTGCACACATACTTACACTCACACAGCCGTGCCCTCCCGCAGGTACACAGCAACATGGAATCCGGAAGGCACACACAGTCCAGGTGAGGTGGTGACGGTCGTCGCTTGCTTTGAACAATGAGCTCTTGTTCCAGGGACCCAGCCACAGAGCTGGCCCCAGAACAAGCTGCGAGACCCAGTCAGGCCTCCTGCTGGCCAGGATCAGGTCCCTGAACTCTGTGTGGCCCCGATAGGTACCAGGGAACACACACCGCCACCTGGCTGGACCACGGCCCGATGCTGTAGCCTCTAACTTGGGTTGCTTCTCGAAAATGCAGGTGTGGGTGCAAGGATGGGTGTGTGTGCACGGGTGTGTGCGTGTGCACGTGTGTGTACTGGGAGGTCGGAGGTGGGGAGGCTTTAGAGCTACGTTCAGCTGCCAAACCCAGAAAGGACCTCCCAGCCTGGGGAGATTTTAAACTGATTTTACATCATTCACCTCGAAGAAATGTATGCACTTAATATATTTTTTTTCTGGTTTAAAAGTAGTACATGCTCACTGTAAACAATTAGATGTGGACAGGAAACAAACGGGCAGTGAAGAGGACGCGAGAAGCCCTGTGCTGCCACCCCCACCCTGTGCTGATCCCGGCTGACATTTTGGCCGAGCTAGGATTACGCGCGCCTGGCGCTCTCTGCTCTCTCGCCTTCCCGCTCATGGACTCTGCAAGGAGCATCTTCTTGAGTCATCATCACTCTCTGTAAACCTGCCCGAGGCTTGTGCCACTGCACTGGGGACGATCATTTATTTTGCTTGTTCCCAATTGGTGGACATTAAAGTGGCTTCCCGTTCTCCCCGGTGGTGCAAAGCCAGGCTCATACATCTTTGTGTGGGAAGCGCCGAGACCACCTGCTTCCAGGCACTGAGGGAGGAAGCCATAGGGGAAGACTGAGGGTGGCTTGTGTGGCAAAGGCTCAAATGCAGGTCCTTGGGCCAACAGAGGCTGACAGGAGCAGTGAGGAGCTGACGCCGCTGCCCCTGCCTGCTTGGGATGCACCCCGCAAACACCTGGGTGGTCTCCAACTATCTTTCTCCCCCTCCTGGGGGTGATCGGAGGGCAGAGACTTGCCAAGCTCCCCCGGTGGGACAAAGCAGAGGAAACGGCTGTGTTTGAAGCATGGATCTGCTCTGAGGGTCCTGGGGCTGCCCACTCGAGCCTCAGGGCTGCAGTGGGATGGTGACAGGGCAAGGACTTGACTAAGGGACCCACAAGGCTGCAGGCCAGCAGACAATAAGGCACTGGGGAGCAGAGGCTAAGGAGTCCTCGGGAAGTCGTAGTCCTCCAGGGGCTGAGAAGGGCAGGGCTGGGACTGGGGCAGCACAGGGGGAGGGGGTCCCAGATGTCTCCACAGCTCTGCTGCCCGTCTGGCAGACAGAGGTCTCGCCTTGCCTCTGCCCCCCAACAACCTGCGCACAGGGTGGTGGTAGGGGATGATGGCTGTGCTTCGTGAAGCTCTGAGAGCCCTTGTCTGTCTCTGACTCTTGCGAGGGGGGATTGCATGGACTGCAGGATCAGGGCACACGGGACCACAGTCCACATCACTGACCCTGTCCTCCAAGCCGCCTGGCGGGTGGGGAGATGGAGGGTCAGTTTCAAAGGTCACAAGGGGACAGAACAGAAACAGAACCTCAGGGTCTCTGAGTGCCAAACCCAGGAGGCCTTGGGTCACAGCAGCCCACCTCCACCCTGGCGGACAGGGCAGGGGCTCAGAAGCTGTCTTGGTTGTCCAAAGAAGTGGTCCTGTCAAGTCTTTCCAGAGGAGCCCAGGCAGACGCACATCACTGAGTCCAGAGAGCTGGCTGCATTTTTAACTCCCTGAGTGCAGGAGAGGAGTGGCCTAGACCCACACAGCCTGCCCAGGGCTGCGGGGCCCACCTGTGCACGTGGGGAGCTGGGTGTGCGGCAGCTCGGTGTCCTGGGTGTGCTCCCTGTGTAGGGGGCGGGGCGCTGGGGCCCTGTGGCTTCTCCGCACCCGTCTGTGACCCTTGGTCGGACATTGCTGGAGTCCCAGATCCAAGGAGCCCTTCTCACAGCTCAGAGCCAGGGGCAGCCTCTTGGTGCTCCTCCGCCCTCCTGCGGGCAGCAGCAGGCCATGCCCCGACACCAGCTAAGTCAGGGGACCCCCCCCCCAGGCCTGATTCCTGGAGCGGGGCTCTGTCTTCCAGTGGTGTCGCAAGAACCAGCTTTCTGGAATCCAGCCCTCTGGCTTGCAGAAGCAGAGTCCTTCCCAGGCTTTGCTGTGGATTCTCTACGGGGGCAGAGCCGCCCTGTTGGGTAGGCAGGGATTTCACCGTCCCCACTTCGTGGAAACTAAGCGGGGCCAGGGCTGACTCTCCGCTCCTCAGATCAGAAATCCAAGAGGAGATACAACCCCTGCCTCTGGCTCAGTGATGGGGCTGGGAGGGAAAGAATGGGACGCCCTTGAGGCCGCCTGGCCCGCCCCACCCCTCTCCCCCACACCCCTCCTTCACCTGCTACACGCCACCGTGTGTGTGAACTTGCTGTAGACACACTGGATCCATGTCTGCTTTGCTTCTTCCAGCCGTGCAGGGGGTTCCTGGGGCGGGCTGAAGCAGGGAGAGCAGCCCTCAGAGTGTGCCCACACTTCCTGCCCTGGAGCGAGTCATCTACAATGCCTGCTTTTGATGTGTGTCTACACTTCCTACCCTTGAGTGTGTCTATACTTCAACTCGGGTCCTTGGGTTTGTCTACACGGATTCCCCCGCCCTGAAGCGTGTTGTCCTCCTCTCCCGCACTTCGAGTATGTCTGTTCTCTGTGTGCACCTGAGAAATCAGAGCCTGGCTGGGAAAACTCAGAGGCCGGCTGGCGTTGTTGGAGGTTTCAACCCAGAAGGAAGCAGTCGCTTGCCTGCGCTGGTTGCACTGCAAGCCCGAGTTTGCTTACGGGTTTTCTGCTTTTCTTGCAGGGTGAGGACATGCATGGATTCAGCTTTAAACAACATAGATTTCTGTGTGGCTATCAGTCACCAAAAACACCTGGTAATAGCTAACAGACTCATTATTGATTAAGGCCTTGCATTATATTCCTGCACTTATTCCCACACTGGGATGTTCTCTAAGTGGAGACAAACAATGAGTTGTTAATCACTTTCTGCAAGGCCCTAGGACAAAAGCTCACTCCTTCTTAAGGCACAGCAGGTGCCTCCTTGCCCTAGGCTGATGTTTCCTTCCTCATGGTTGCATTTTTTTCTGAAAGCTCCTGTTAGCTGGGACTTCACAGCTTGGACAGCATCCTGGCTGACTTAGGCCTCTACAGTCAACAACCAAATCCACAACTTACCCTCCATCCCTTGGGTGTGTCTATACTTCCATTCCTTCAGTGTGTCTACACTTCCATTCCTTTAGTGTGTCTACACCCTAGCCCTTGAGTGAGCCTACATTCCCACCCGGGGTGTGCAGGTCCAGACCTCAGCACTCAGGAAGCTCCACCTCAGATCCCACAGGAACTTCCCAAAGTCACAGTTTGCCCTAGAGAGGAGATGAGCCCAGGGTGCGCCGTCCTTGTGAGACCCCACCTGGGGCAGGCATCCCAGCATCCCAGCGAGGCAAGCTCTGGGCTAAGTATGGTCCCATTTGACCCTAGAACAAATCGTCCCTCAACCCCAATCTTCCACCCCAATCTGCAGACAAAGAAATGGAGGCTCTGAGAAATCAAGTAGCCGGTTCCAGGCCCGGCGCATGGCAAAGGCGGGGCTTGCGCTAAGTCAGACCGCAGAGTGCATGCTTGTAGCCGCTTCAGTTCTGCACCCGGGCCCTGGCCTCAGTGTCTGTCTGTCTTGCTCTCCCAACAGCTCTCTGAGGACGGCTCGGCCGGCCCCGGCTCCTCTCTCCAGCAGCTGTGCCTAGGGCCATGGAGAGCCTGAGTGAACTGCAAAACCCCCTGTTGCCCAGAAGCCCTGCCCACCTGCACGGCGCCTACACCTACCCGGAGGCCTCGCCCAGCTGGTCCTGCCAACAGAAGCTCTACTCCTACCTCCTGGGTGGTGCTGGCCCTGCTCACGCCCACCAGCTCCTGGACCCTGGGTCCCTACAGCTGGCTGTGGAGGCCTGGTACAGGCCCAGCTGTCTCCTGGGGAGGGACAAGGCCAAGGAGCCCAGGGCAGGCAGCTGTGAGACCAGCTTCACAGAAGTCAGGGAGCCCCCCACGGGGCCCACAGAACAGTCCCCAGAGCCTGGGCACACCGAAGGGGATGTCGCCATCCAGACAGTGTCCTACGGTGTCCATGAGGAGCTGCAAGGCCAGGACGATGGCCAGGAAGAGGAGGAGGTGAGAGCATGAGTTTAAAATGCAGATCCCCAGGGCCCTGCCACCAGACCTTGAGATCTGATAGGCCTGGGTTGGGGACCGGGCATCTGAAGGCTACCAGGGCAAAGGTATTCTGACCTAGGTAGAGTCCTCAGTGAGAAATTACCTTGGGTTTGATGACTGACCCATGTGATAGAGTGGAGCACTGATCACCCAGAGACTACACAGTTAATCTGGAAGATGACCACCTAGGTCTCTTTTAGAATCCCATATTTGTTCCCTCCCTCCATTTCCCAAGGAGATCTTGCTATAAGTAGTTTTATAATCTGCTTTTTCTCTCTAAAAATATATATTTCAATATTGCTCCGTATAATTGAGCATTTTTCTACTAAGTGATTTTTTTTTTGAAAGGCATAGAGACAGAGAACTCCCACCCACTGGTTTATTTCCCAAATGCCCACGACAGCTAAGGGTAGGCCAGGCTGATGCCAGGAGCCAGGGACTCAATCCGGGTCTCCTACATGAGGGGCAGGGACTTGAGCCCTCACCTGCTGCCTCCCAGGGTGGACATTAGTAGGAAGCTGGAACTGGGAGCAGAGTCAGGACTTGAACCCAGGCAAGCGGTGTTTTAACTGCTAGGCCAAATACCTGCTCCTACAAGGTGATTTTTTTAAAAGTCCCATGGTCTTCTGTTGTAAATTCTTCCATCAATTATCAGCCCATTCCCAGATGTGGACACGCATTCTTTCCTTCGGTAGCGTGCCAAGGCCTCCCCACTGCCCCCTTCGATGGAGGGGACCGCCCGCTGCTCCATATTGCCCACTGGTGTTCTTGGGGAGCTCTTGCAGTCTGACGGGCTGGGGTGCCCCCGAGCCTGCTCAGCATCGCACACTGTTTTGCAGAGTGATGCGACTTCATCAGAGAGCGAGAGTGAAGACAACTTCCTCACGCTGCCTCCCAGGGACCACCTGGGTCTCACCCTCTTCTCCATGCTCTGCTGCTTCTGGCCCCTGGGCATTGCTGCCTTCTACTTCTCCCAGGGGGTAAGCACCGCCGGGCCCAGGGCTGCCTCTCTGGCCTCTCCTGCTGCAGGATGCCGTCAGGGGCCTGGAGGGTTGGGCTGCTTTGCTGGGCCTGCGGGTGCCCCCTTTCACCAGCACGTCTCTCTCGTAGACCAGCAAGGCCATCTCCAAAGGGGACTTCCGCCTGGCCAGCACCACCTCCCGCCGGGCCCTCTTCCTGGCCACACTCTCCATTGCCGTGGGCGCTGGTCTCTATGTGGCCGTGGTAGTGGCTCTGGCGGCTTACATGTCCCAGAATGGTCATGGCTAGAGGCCGGTAGGCTCTGCCTCCTGACCGCCCTGGCCCACCAGAGGAAGCCGTGGGGCTGGCGGCTGCAGGCTGCACGGAGAACCCGGGCCCCTAGCAGAACTCCTGAGAGTGGCTCGTCACAGACTGGCCTCCCAGCCTGCAACCTGCAGAGCTCAGCCTCAGAGCCGGCCAGGGGCTCCCTCTGTAACCCAGGCTGCTGATGGGAAGTGAGAGCGGACAGGGCTGCCCACCAGGGCGTCCCAGTAAGCGCAGCCCCGTCCTTTCGCCAGCCCCTCACCCACCCACTCTGCCAACTGCCCCACACCCAAGAAAGCGCAGGAAGCTCCAGTGAGGAAAAGGGGGCCCCGGGGCCCCAGCTCTGTCCTTCCAGCCCACGAGGGTCTTCACCTGGGGACATCCTGAGCCTCCCCCAACTCTCCCTGGCTCCGCAATGCCCAGGCCCCAGCCAGCCGGGAAGGAGACACGTGCGGACCCCAGCTTCCCGTGAGCAGTGCCCCTCTATCCTGTGGGCTGAGACACCATGGCCCTGCAGAGAGAAGGGGACCCTTGGCGTCCACGCTCTGAACCAAGGCAGGGTCTCGGAGCTTCTCTGTGTAGGTGCCAAAGGCAGAGGCAATGACCGAGAGACCGGAGGGCCCTGAGATACTGCTGGACTGCGTGAGCCTCCCCGCCCGGCCCCTGTTCCCCGTCCCCCTCATCCTTTTCTGGGCTCTGCCTTGGGGGTCCTGAGCTGCTGCTACTCCAGGTAGACTGGGAGAAAGTGCCAGCTGCCAACAGCCATGGGCACAGGGCCCTACATCCAGCCCTGTGGGAAACGCAGCGAGGAGGAGTGAGGGGAGATGAGGCGTGGCCTGCTGGGCATCTAGGGGTGCTCAGAGAGGCTTCCTGGGGGAGGTGTCTCTTGAGCAAGGCGTAAAGGGTGAGTAGAATTCATCTAAGGGGTCTGTTTCACTTGGCTCCTTGTGTGTGTAGGCAGGGGAGAGGCAGGAGCACCCCGGATTCCAGGCTACCTGGATTCTGCCTGAACCATCCAGGGTTCCACCAACTCCAAGAGGAAGGTTGGGGCTGCCTCTCAAAGCCTAGGGATGTTTTCCCACCTCTAGACGCTAAGGACCGGGGTGGACCCCTGACCCGCCTCAGGGCATTTTCACAGATATCCCTCCCCCTTCAGGGCTGCTCTCGACACCCTCTAAGAAACACCCAGAATTCTAGACACATCCGGCCACCAGGGGGCAGCACACTGAGAGGGCCGGCCTGTCAGGCCCCAGTTGCAGGACCCCACCATGCACGATTTGGGGACCTGGGCGTTCCCTCGCCCCAGCCAGAGCCTGGGGCTCCCCTCTCCCCCATCTTGAGCCCTGTCCAGCCCTGCACCCTCTGCATCCTCAGCGATTTGAATGCCCGACTATTGTACTTATTGATCCTTGTAATAAACGTTTCTGTAACACCTGGTGGCCTCTTGCTGTCCTCACTTGCCCTGACCTGTGCCTGGGTCCCTTTCCTCTCCACGACTGGCTGCCATGACTATGTCTGCTGCTTCCCAGCCTACAGCAACCTAGGGAGTGGACAAAGCCCACGGATGGCCCCAGGAGGGCTGGCGGCCACAGTGTCTACCCTACCCCAGGACTGCTGGGCTCCGAGCAGCCTGGATGTAGGCCGCTGGTGTGCACTGACTGCCAGACGAGGCAAGCGCATGCCTGCAGAAAACCCCTTCCAGCTTCAAGAGCGTCAGAGCTCAGGGAGGAAGGGCTGTGAGCCAGGAGCACTGACGCTCTCCCAGCTGCCTGGAGCTACCAAGGGCGACACAGGCGTGAGGGGCTCATGCCCAATCTTAGATCCCGTGCATCTCCCATGCTAAGGGCTGCTCCTGTGCAGTGTGGACAGGAAGCCTTCTCTGCCCACCTCAGGCCTCAGCCTTAGATCTTCAGTCATCTCTGCCTCTTGGGCACCCAGGACCTGCCCTGTCTGGGCTGGCAGAGGAGCTTGTCTGGCCTCTTGGTCACAGTGCAAGAGAGCCCAGCCGGCGCCACAGCTCAATAGGCTAATCCTCCGCCTAGCGGCGCCGGCACACCGGATTCTGTCCCGGTTGCCCCTCTTCCAGGCCAGCTCTCTGCTGTGGCCCGGAAGTGCAGTGGAGGATGGCCCAGGTCCTTGGGCCCTGCACCCCACAGGAGACCAGGATAAGCACCTGGCTCCTGCCTTTGGATCAGCACAGTGAGCCGGCCACAGCGGCCATTGGAGGGTGAACCAACAGCAAAGGAAGACCTTTTTCTCCATCTCTCTCACTGTCCACTCTGCCTGTAAAAAAAAAAAGAGAGAGAGAGAGCCCGGAGCAGGGGAGTGATGCACACCCCACACCCACGCGTGCACCTGCTGCACACACACACACATGCTTCCTGGGCCAGGTGCACTGGGACAGACACTAGCACACGGGTTGTATGTTCAGGGCTGCGCTTAGGATAGCGTGTGTGGGATAGAGAGGAAGGAGGGGAAACCGGGCAGAGGTCAGGCCGTGGTGCAGTCCTGAGCCACAGCTTTGGCCTCTGGTGATGAACCACGCTGGAGTGAAGGGCCAGGCCTTTCTACCATCCTATTGGTCAGCCCTCGGAGGTGAGCCACCCAGAAGAGGGGTGGGACTCCGGGGCCAGGTGGCTTTCTTGAGAGGGGGCAAACTCCCAAGAGGGAAGGCCCCGGAGGCTGGTTGCTGCCAGCTCCTGCCAGCACCACAGGGCGGTCCATCCTTCCGGAAGGGGTCCTAGAAGCACGTCACCGCATCCCCGCACCCGCCCACCAAAGCAGGCATGCCGTGTCCACCCAGATCCCCTCTGCATTCACCTCTGCCCACGGAAGGCCGCTTCCTGGGGACTCGGGGGCTCCTGGCCAGCAAAGCCAAATCAGCTGAAAGTGCCGAGAGCCTGTGCGGCCGCCAGCCGATGACCAGCCAATGACGAGTGCCCGTAGGTGGATCGATACCCCAGATGTCTTGCCCTGGGATGGAAGGACACCAGTTGGGATCCACAGTGGCTCCCAGGGGACTTGAACTTCAGTTGCCCAGAAGAACGAGAGGTAAGCAGAGGCGGGCTGGCAGCATCCTGCCTGACAGCACGGCCCTTGACAGCTGCCTTCCTCTCCCTGTCTTTTTCTGGTGCGCCTACTGCGCTGCCTGTGGTTGTCTCCCAATCACCACCTGCCATTGAGTCCTTGTTTTGGCGTTGGTTCCCGGGGGACCCCAAACCGAAGCACATACATGCACACTCACATGCACATGCTTCTGGGCATACATTTGCATATACATGGACTTGTACACAGACGCACAGACACACACACAGAGAGGCTGGTGTGTGACATGCACAACCTCATGCACAGTCACAACCCATGTGTGCATAAAAACTTCATGCACAGGGGGTCGTGTAGGGGTAAAACTGCCACCTGTGGCGCCAGCATCCCATATGGACACGGGTTCAAGTCCTGGCTGCTCCCCTTCCAAACCAGCTCCCTGCTAATAGCCTGGGAAAGCAGTGGAAGGTGGCCCAAGTCCTTGGGCCCCTGCACCCCTCTTCCTTCCATATGGGAGACCCAGAAGAAGCTCTTGGCTCCTGGCTTTGGATTGACCCAGCTCTGCTGTTGCAGCCATTGGGGAGTGAACCAGTGAATGGAAGATCTCTTCCTCTCTCTCTCTCTCTCTCTGCAACTCTGCCTTTCTTTCAAATAAATAAATCTTTATTTTTTAAAGATTTGTTTATTTATTTGAAAGTCAGAGTTACACAGAGAAGGAGAGGAAGAGAGAGAGAGAGGTCTTCCATCCGCTGGTTCACTCCCCAGTTGGCCACAATGGCAGGAGCCGTGCTGATCTGAAGCCAGGAGCCAGGAGCTTCTTCCGGGTCTCCCACGCAGGTGCAGGAGCCCAAGGACTTTGGCCATCTTCCACTGCTTTTCCAGGTCATAGCAGAGAGCTGGATCAGAAGTGGAGCAGCTGGGACTCGAACAGGCACCCACATGGGATGCCGGCGCTGCAGGCAGTAATTTTACCCACTACGCCACAGTGCTGACCCCATCAAATAAATAAATCTTTAAAACAAAGAAACAAGACCTGCATGCACACTCACATGTGCAGCCACCACGTGGCACATGCTCTCTCAAGTGGGGAGGGAGACGGGATGGCTGAGGAGCCCGTCTGGTCACCCCAGCCCCACGCCTCGCCCCCTCCCCAGGCTGCCTTTTGGCCCTGCTTGGGCCGGGCAAGCTGCCTCCCAGCCTGGATGATTCCCAACCCCTGCCCAGCACTCTGGAATATTCTCTCAGGCCTCAAGAAGGGGAAAGAAAAACCTAATGATTTCCTCATTTCAGCTCTGGTCTACCCTCATCGATGAAGCAGCAGGCTCTGCAGGAGACAGCGGCATCAGGCACAGAGCCCCGGGGGCCCTGCCGCCACCACAGCCCCCTGGCAAGGGCCCAACTTGTCCTCAGCAGTTCTTGGTACCCAAGGGCAGCACCAGCGCATCCTGCTGAGGCCTGCCTCAGGCGCGCCTGGGGCACTCTTTGCCTCCTGCTCCCTCCCTGCCTCTACCTCCCCCTCCTGCCAGAGGCTCCTGGGAGGGCCTGGGGGCTTCAGTTCCTCCCCTTCAGGCTGAAACCTCAGGCTGGGAGCAGGCAGGGCCCCCTGGGTAAAGGTGCCGTGATGAGCTGCAGTGCCAGCACATCTGTGCAAATATTACCAATTATTTTCCTCCCCATAAACACCCAGCAGGAAGGCAGGGAAGCAACCAACCCCAACTGTTTAAAATAGAAACTGTGGTTGCTGCGTGGTGAGGTCGGGACGGCGGGCAGAGCAGGACCCTGCAGGAGAATCCAGGGGCTGCCCCCAAGTTGCACCTGCTACTGCCGCCCCCACCCTCCCACTCCAGGGGCCAGGCAGGAAATAACGGAGAAGGCCCTCACCTCGGGGTTGAGGGAATGGAAGCAGGGTGCCAAACAGAGCTCTGTACTGGACAGAGAGGGCTGAGGGAGCTGAGGCCACCTGGGCTGTGGTCCATGGCAGCATTAGGGCACGCTCTACCCGGGCCACCGCTGGTGCATGGAGAGGGGTGAGCAGAGGAAGCCCCCCAGGAAAGAGGGGAACCCTCTGGGTGACAGGCCAGGGAAGGACTCAAGAGGTCAGGCCAAGTGGGGACAGCGGTGGAATGACTGGAGACCCACCCCCAGGGAACTGGCAGGCTTCTCTGTCTCTCTCTCCATAAACAGGCTGATACAAGATAGGCTATCAAAATGATGAAACTTTGGTGCTAGTTAACAAATTAGCAGTGCCTCCCCTAGGACCAGCAGCCACCCCATCCTCCCCAGGAACTAAAGGGTTAACAGCTGGCCAAGCAGCCCCCTCTCCCAAATACATCAGACCCTTCCTGGGCGGCTGCAATGGTCAAACATCTACAGTGTCACCCTCCTCCCCAAGGGAACCCCCACCCCCACCACAGGCTCCATCTCTTGCTTTCCGGGGACCTCTCCACACTGAGACGGCTGGGGTCCAGGGTGGTGCCCGGGCAGGGGGCCCTGTGATCCAGTCCTGGAGGGTGGGTTCTGGAATGTGGCACCAGGAGGAAGATGGAGGACCAGCTAGTGAGTCCCTCCTACTACAGACCAGACAAGGGCAGCCCAGGGAGCGGAGCGGTCGCCCAGGGTCGCCCAGGGTCGCCCAAGGTCACACAGTGAGTTCTGAGCCATGTTGGGGCCTTGCCTCCAGATGCTGTCTCAGCTCAGCTGACCACCCTGTGCACAGGATTGCAAACATAGAAACCCCAGGGACGGGGCAGGCCTTTGTCTCCTGACCCCAGCTTCCTGCTAATGCACACCTGGGAGGCAGCAGGTGATGGCTCAAGTACTTGGGTCCCTGTCACTGCCATGGGAGACCCAGACTGAGTTTCAGGCACCTGGCTTCAGTCTGGCCTAGCCCCAGCTGTTGCAGGCATTTGTGAAATGAACCAGCAGACGGAAGCATTCTCTCTCTTTCCCTTCCTCTCAAATAAATCAGTAAAAATTAAAAGAAAAGAAAGCCCAGGGATCACCGTGCCTGCGGCCTGGTTCAGAGGTTTTCCTGGCCAGCCCTCCCCCTGGGTGACACTCAGCCCTTCTATTTTTAGTAGCCTGGCAGAGGTAAGGCGAGAGGGCAACAGCCCTGCTCTGCCTGCCCGGGCTCTCAGGGCAGCCCCTGGGGGCTCTCACGGCGGCTCTGGGGAGGCTCAGATGTTCTGGACAAAAACAGAAGGTGCTGGCACTGCCCTGTGCGTTTCCTGTGCTCCAGCGCACAGCACTGGGCTGCGCTCCCATCTCTCCCTCGGAAGAACCAAGCAGGCGTCAAAGCCAGTCCTGGCTCCCTGAGGAGAGCATGACAAAGAAACTCCCAGAAGGCAGGGACCCCCAGAGGCAGCCAGGAAGGGGACACGGGGACAGCTGGCCTGTTTGCCCAGGAGGCA